TTCCCATAATTTTTATTACTTAGGGGGAGGGATTTTATCCCCAAAATCACCCCTTGATACTCTTCTGTAATACAATCTAAGATCTACATATTATAAACTCTACACTCTACGGACTTCCACTGGAATTCCACGGACTTCTTCTGGAATTCCACGGACTTCCACATACTTCCACTGGAATTCCATAAATGTGTATACCATAATTCCAAGGTGATTTGCCCTTCGTATAAAAACCATTGTTTGTATATATAACAGTTTTTGAACACTTAGCCAATTTAAGACGTCTAACATAAACTGAATACTGGTATATTTGTTACAACCTAGTATCACTCGCATTGCTTTGTTTTGTAGGACATGTAGTCTAACAAAATTGGAACATCCTGTATATATTAAATAACAGCAATAATAAAAGTGGGGTAGAATAAGTGTATTATATACAGTCGATTTAGTTAAAATTGATAGTTATGGTGACACTCTTCGTAAGAATCCTTTTTTTTTTCTACCTTTTTACATATATTCAATGTATTTATTAAATTTTAGTTCTCTATCCAACATAACTCCTAAATACTTTATTTCTTAAACCATTTCTAGTGTTTCGTTATTTATTTTAATGTCTAAATTTAAATTCAAAAATTTATTGTATAGAAAGTTGTTACCAATGAACATAAATTTTGATTTCATCTCATTAACTTTTAATTTATTTTGTTTGAATTTAGATGTTAATAACCCCAATTCATGGTTGACGGTCTCAGTAACTTCAGCAAAATCATCCCCATAATAATAAATAAACGTGTCATCTGCAAAATGTTGCATTTTACATTTTTTAAAACCCTATCCCAAGTCATTTATATAAAGTATGAATAGTAAGGTTTCAATTACGCTTCCCTGCGGCACCCCAAAAGTATTTAATTCTGGATTTGATTTTTCATTATTAATTTTAGTTACTTGATATCTATTTAATAAGTAATTATACAACCAATCATAGACAGTTTCCCTAAATCCATATTTTTTTAATTTTTGAAGTAAAATGTTACGGTCAATCGTTTCAAATGCACGTTTAAGATCAATAAAAACTGCGCAGATACCAACTCCTGGTTTATCAAGAATATTTTTCATATCTGAAACAACTAATTGTAAAGCCGACTCACAAAAATGTGCTTTACTAAAGCCCGATTGATAACTGCATAGTATTTTATTTGAAGTTATAAAATCCATGATTTGATTGTACTTCTAAAAGTTTTTCACAAAATGGAAGCATATTTATGGGTAGCAACTGATCTGCCTTGTTTGTATTAGCTATTTTTGGGATTGGAATTATTGTTGATGTTTTAAGTCTCTGTGAAACAATACCCTTATCTAAACTGGTATTTATTAAATTAAGTAATGGTTAACCAAGTACATGAAATAGATTCTTAATGATATCAAAACCTATCTCATTTGTACTAGACTTCTTTTTTTGAGTTTTAATTACTTCATCATTGATGGTTGAAGGGAACTGGTTCCAAGCAAGCTTCAAAGTCATCATCACTTATATCAATTAACACAATATTGTAAATGCTACCCACGTAATATTGATTTAAAACATCAGCAAAATTCTCATTATATTCTGTCCCTTCACACACCTAACTATTAAAATGTGTGGTGTGGGACTAATCAATAATCAGATTATTGGGCCGATTTTTTTGGATGGTAATTTAAATCAGTTCCGATACCTACATTTATTGAAGGAAGTACTCGATGAGATGCCCTTACAAACAAGACAAAATCTTCAATACTTTATGCAAGACGGTTGTGGTGCACACAATGCTAGGAGGGTTGCAGAGTATCTCGATCGATATTGTAGAGGTAATTGGATTGGTAGCAAGTAACCAATAAGATGGCCTCCTCGATCTCCGTGTCTTAACCCCATGGATTATTTTGTATGGGGCTTCGTAAAGAACCAAATCTACGACAAAAATATGCCAAATAATCTACAAGAACTTCGTCAACGAATAGTAGATGCATTTGAAAAAATTACACCAGAAATAGTTGATAAAACTACATCCCAAATGTCTAGGAGAATTGCACTCTGTATCGAACAGAATGGACTACATTTTGAGCAACTATTGTGACTGTTTTTGTTTTTGAATTTTGTTTTTGTTATTAGCTTTATTATTTGTAGAATGTGTACAACCATAATTCGTTCTTCATTAGTATTGTTTACTGGTTGTACTTAATCATGTTTGATAAAAAAATTTAACTCATTTTGTAATTAAATAATTCTTGTATTATGTTTCAAATAATATTTAAAATTTCACATTTTAAGCATTTTTTGTTTTTTAATTATAATTTAATTAGCTATCTTGTTTAAATCAAGTAAGAAACGGTATCATCAGAAGCTACATAGCTGATGATATTTTCATGAACGAAACGTAGTAAAATGGTAAAGTGTAACATACGGTTGTATTTAGCTATACAAAAGCTATAAAAAATTACAATTAAAAATCCAGGTCCGTATTTAAAAAAATAAGTTAAAAACGAAAATGAGGTTTTTCGGATTTTATCGAATATCTCCGGAACCAGTCAGAAAATCTGGAACTTCTATGGACCATTGTATTATCCGTCAAAATACGAAACTTTTTCCCCATTTAACCGACAATGTATATCTTACTGTTTACGAGATCTCTGTATACCTACACAAATTAAATCCGGTCCACCCTGTATACTCTAGGAAATTCAGTAATTAGTTGTTTAATCCCAATCAATATATTTTTTGAGTTTTCTTTTTTCTTGACAATTTTTATCAAAATGAATGTTGAAATCTCCTGTTATAATCACACTACAACTGCTATGTGTTTCTACATATTCATCCATCCATTCTAAAAAGGATTTAAAGAATTGGATAATGTTTGCGTTGGGGGACCTATAAACACCTGCTACACCGTATCTAGTACCATTCACTCTAACTTTTATAGATAACAATCAAAGATTCATATCATTGATTCAAGTTTTTATCGGTGGCGGCTTGTCACCATAATTTTGGGGGTTCACAGTGACAGAATAGAGCTATCACTACAGATGTATGAAAAAACTTTAAGTGTTTCAGAAAGTTTATAATATACCTTTCTAAAGCACTGACAGTTTTTCACCTAAATCTGCACCTAGATCAATATTCTGCTACTGTGAATCCCCAAAATGTTGTTTGACACTTTTAAAAATGTTTTGGTAAATATTAGAACTCCCCCAGTTTGTCGACTTTCTAGAACTAACCAAAAGTTGCACTCTAAAAGGCTTTAATATTGAATTTTATTAAAACAATTTTCAATTGCTTTCAAAATCATCCATCCATTCAGCGTCCAACTATAGATTTTTCTTTATTTTGAAAGTGGTGTCATTTAATATCCACTGACTAAAAAATATGAACACGGTAATATTGATATGCAAATAATGTAACTGCATAATAATATAATAAAGTTTTTCAAAAAATGTGTCATGGAATTTTTTTGTTAACCGGTAAACAAGTCGTGATGTGACGACTATGTAACACCTGCTAAAAGTCGCACAATAGACAATCGTATTTATGCTACAAGTAGTACATCAACATTAAATTATTCTTCCATAAATCATCGAATCTCATACGGAACTTGCAACCAGTGTAATAAAAAAAGCACCCACGAGTAAATGTAAGGTCAGTGTAGGCGCTGCGTGGCGCTTATTGGGGGTCAATGTATTATAGTAGATGAAAAAACTGCATTAAAGTATAATAAACCTCGTTTAAAATTGTAAAGAATCATAATCCCAAAAAGCATTCGTTCTAACTTCTACAGTGTCAAAATTTTATAGATCATCCGTAGAATGTTAGATTCATTAACTATGTTACGTACAGCATTATATTTTTTTGTGAGCTAGTAAATTTTAATGTGTGACTAAAATTATCCCTATATTTTTTTGATTTATCCGAAATTCAAAAAGTTTTGTTGTGCTAAATTATACTCGTGAGAATAATTATTGTACCTCAATTTTTGTTTTTTAAATTGACTGTTTATTAAGTTAACATTTTGAGTGATTATTTGATCCAGTTTTTCCGAGATTCAAAAGTAATTAATATGCTTAATGCTTAATATAAAAATTGACAATACTTTACATAAACGATTTTTTAACTAGATAACCCAGATTTTTCATAGAATCAAAATAAAATTATTGAACTGAATTGTGCCTTAATTTTTGTTTTTTAAATTGATCACTTATTAAGCTAAGTTAACTCGGATTAGTGTAATGTAATGTGGAAATGGAAAATCATATTTTTTTGGACCCAAAAAATTGCTTTTGTTTTTCAAAATCCACCAATTTATGAACCAAATTATTTTGCTGATTAGTGCTCAATGGGAGATTTCTTTTTAAGAAGTTAATATTCTAGGTGCATGAAACCCTATGACGTCAAAAAAAAACGACTGATAACGGTTTAGAATTGACAAGGAGCTCTGTGTATCCGCTCTCTAGCAAGTGCTTGAGGGGAAAAGGGAGAACTGGTGGGAGTTGCTACAGATCAACAAGCATTGATAAAATAGTAGTGATAGGAAGAATCGAATACTTTTAAGAATCAAGAACTCGGTTCTCGAATACTGACAACTCGACCGAGAACCGAATACTTTATTTTATTATTTATCGTTCGAGTCTCGGTTCTCGTTTCGGAAGAGGAACTGGGGGATAGTTGAAAACAGTTTTACTTTTTCTTGAAAATCCATGGAAATATAACCAAGAAGGTAGAACCAAAGTAAATACATAATTGTACTAACATGTATTTACGTGATTTGATAAAGATACTGTCATTTATAAACCATTGAGCAACCTTAGTTATTTTTTTTGCAAAAGTATCAAGTATCCCCACTAGGTGGGATACATGATCAGGACTCAGGGAGACTTGCACAAAAAATAAATAGAACAGAAATTAAATGTTTATTCTAATAAATGCATACAATTATTCTTAACCCCTTTCAAAAATATCAAGTGGCTTTGGAAATGTATCACATTCTTGCTCCTTTTAAAATAATGTTAGTATCAGGTGCTAATCCAATGATGTCTTCAAATGGAACGTCACTGATGTCGGAATCTGCAAGTGAAAAGATTTTTTTACTTTTGTCGGCACATCTCAAAGCAATAACCCTGCAATCACCATCACTATCATCTACATTATCAACCACACACATATATTTGTATGTCCCCTTCTTGAGATTACCGGTATTTACAGGAAGCAGTTCCTCAAGCTCATCTTCAAAATCAATTAAAGAATCGTCTGACTCACTCATCGAGAGTTCCCCGTCTCTTGAAGAACTTGAAGACGATACAATTTTCCTATTTACTTTTTTAATTTTACTTAGTTTTGCTACAGCCCTTTTGTTTGCATTGTCAGTTCTTTTTTGTTTCTTTTCCTCCCTTTTTTTTTAAATTATTTTCTATTTCCTCTTTTACTGGTGTATCCGTTAATATTGCGGACTTTCTTTCTGTTAATTTTCCTGGGTGCTGCTTTAGGGAATGGCTTAACTTTAATAGGACTAATAAGAAAATTGGAGGATTTTGAACGTAAACATAATCCACTCGGTCCTGGGGGTGTTTGGTTTACTTTATCCTGAAATTGAGTAGATTCTGGATTATTTTTTTCTGGATTCTTATTAACAATCTCTGTACTTTCGTTTTCAGCAGAAACTTGATCCGGTCGAGGACGGTCAGTAATGTGTGCTGTCAAGAAGTCCTCATCCTTGAATATTGATGGATTGTAAGAGTGTATTCCAGTTTTCTTGAAACTGCTTTTGATATTTAAAGTAGAGAAAGCCCAATGGATAAGTTTTCCCAATAATTTGGGAGACGTCATATATTGTTATGACTCTACCCGGATTTTGGACATCCACTCATTTGCATTTCGGTCACATACATTTTTAAATGGCCCGAAAACACCCATATCAAGAGGTTGTAATTTCTGGCTACAATGGCGTGGCAACGTCAGTAGAATAATCCCATTATTTTTACAAAAGTCTAAAGATTTAGTAGAAATGTGACTATCATGGTTATCAATGATAAGAAGGACTTTTCTATCTTTCGAAACATTGGCGTAACAAAATGTTGAAGATACATATAAAATGTATCAGTAGACATCCACCCAGACACATTAGCGGCTCCAGCGGATCCTTCAGGTGCATCAGTCAGCATAAATGCCTTAAAATTGACTAGGAAATACCACAAATGACGCAATACTATTGCCAGATGCATTAATTGTACAGCACACGGTAATTAGTGGCTTTCTTTCGGCTGATGTCATTTGGCTAACTTACCTTTGGCCTTTCAGAGCCACAATTTTCTTGGGCTTTTGTACCATGGTACAGCCTGTTTTATCCACATTCCATATATTATCTTCATTTAATTTTTTTCTATCCAAAATTACTTTTAAATTGTTAAAAAAATTACCAACATTGCTTTTGTTGAAGCTAGTGGCTCTATTAAGACTAGTAGCTTCTGGAGTTTTTAGAGAAAGAGTATTGTTGCGGTGCCTAAACCACTGAATCCAATCTATGCCAGCAATTTTATTGTCATCCCGTTGTTTTGGCTTTGGAATATAATTTCGAACTGCTATTTCGTATGCCAATTCCCTGATTTTTCTCAATGTGAGGCCATGGTTGATTTTTGCACATGATTTCAAATAATCTGCAAATTCCTCTTCTCTCTTTTGTGAAAATAACCGTTTTTTATAATCTGATGTCATTTTTAAATCTGGATTCGTCTCATACTTCTTCATGTACCTTTTAAGAGTCATTTTGTCGATGCCATATTTTCTAGCCACTGCTTTTATTGGACTTTTTATAGTCTCATTTATCTTTATTCTAGGTGATGAACCTTCCTTTCTTTTATAAAACCTTGACATCTGCGAAAAACAAACTCAAAAGTTGGGAATTTGCGTTTTCCCCAAAAAAAAAATGAAATAGGATATTTGATCATCTGATCAAGTATTTCTCTTTTAGGAGTGATCAAGTATCCCTTTAAGGACACACAGCAAATGAAAATGAAATTTAACTTACCTTAAATATAAACAGCAACAGCAATATAACATTAAGTTTATTAAAAAATAAAAAGAGTAAAAAAGATTTAAAATAAAATTTTGCATAAAATGAAATGAAAATTTTAAAAATCGGCCAATGGACAAAAAGTTCTGTATAGTTATAAGGGTGGGTAACCTCAGTACCACCCCTTAAAATATTTCAATTAATTCTTACTCATCCCCAAATTAAGACTCATGAAGCGCTTAAATAATTTACCAAATATAGATTTTTTAAGTTAAACGGTTGCAGAGATATTAAATCTTTTCGAAATTTATGACCCCACTTTAGGCTTCCGTAACTCCTTATGGGTACAACTTGGCATATAGGTAAATTGCATTAAATCATCATATATTGATATATTGGGGTGCCCAACACAGACCTGTCCTGTGTCGGTACTTATGCGGAACACCCTGTATAATATTTAACATAATTACCTGGTTAAAAATTTAATACTAGTCATTTTTTATTTGGTAAGTTTTCGCTCAATAAATATTAAATTAAATTTAGTTGTAGAAAAAAAAAATACCACAGGTGCTAGAAAGCCTTTTTCTTTTGGAAATGTGGACAAAGTATGGTTTCTGCCATATTATTTGAATCTAGGATAAATTGGTTTTCGGTTATTTTTGAAAAAATATTTCACCAATTTACATTACTTTTTACATAAAAAAAGAATTTTTGATAATTTTTTGATTATAACCCACACATTTGATGGGATATAAATAAGACACTCGTTAAATTTATTTACCCGGATAATGAAGGTTAAATGAAAATAAAAGGAAAGTATGACGTTGGCCACGATCCATATTTGTTGGCGTTTCATCAACTACCGCGTTTTCTTCGGTCATAATCAGCACAACGTTTATCAACATACGGAGAAAGTAGACATTAGTACATTTCTAATGGTTGTTGAATATTTATGATTCTAATTTATTTAAAAACCGTGTAAATGGCCGTTTTCAATCACTACGTTACTATTAGAAAGAAAAATAAAAAATACGTACTATAACGTGATGATTTATTCGTTTATAATTAAGAAATATTATATTTACTATTTCCTAGTTTTGGACTAAGCCACAGTTGGACACAACATACAGGGTGATAATTTAAAAAGTTTCAATTTCTATATCTCATGAACTGAAGATGTGATAGGAAAATGTCTCGGAAAATGCTTAGAAGCAAACCGGACCTCTCGCGAAAGCAAAAATGTTTTTTTTTTTTTTGATTTATGGCCTAGGTGTATATACCTAATATGCCAGTCTCAAATTTGTGTTTTTAAATTCTCAATCATGTGTGTTCTGTGTAGGCTTTGTTACTGTTTCCCAGCGCCACTTCAGGAACAGCACTGTTAATTAGAACCCAACAGTGAATGGTCGAGTGAGGAATCCTACCAAGGCATCAGAATTAATTTTATGTTTTTAACGATTTTCTAACATAAAAATATATTTATATATTTTTTGAGAATATAGAGAACTTTAAATTTGTTTAACGATAAGGCAGCACTCTACAGAGATGTTTAGGGAAAAAAAATGGTAAACCCTCCCATTTTAAAACTCAATATATTTATTAAAATAAGCAGCATAGATTTAATACAGAATGGCGAGTAAATGTTTTTTTTTTTTTGATTTCTTATGAATATTTTCAAAATAAACACTTTTTCAAGGTTTACAAAAAATTCAAGGGGTCTCGAAAGGTTTTTATTATTGGTATTTCCTAAAAATTTCACAAAAATCAGACTAAAAACTAGAATGAAGATATATAATGCTTGGCATTCTATATTATACTCTTCACATATTTTTTTCCTGAAAATTTCAATGTGATATCGTTTCTAGTTTCTGAGTCAATAGGCTTTGTCTCCTTATAGAGCTTGATTTTTGCTAAAAAATTTCAAGTTCATATCATTTTTCCTTTTTGATTTTATAGGCTTTTTTTAATATTTCAACCCCCTTTGTCCCTCATTTTTATTCAGATTTTTTTTAAGAATCAATAGGATTCATTCCCTTACAGAGCTTGATTTTTACTAAAAATTTCATGTTGATATCGCTTTTAGTTTTTGATTTCTATTTTTTTTAACCCCCCTTCTGTATCTATAACGTGTGCATCCTTCTAAGATGATAGGCACCTCCTAGCTCGTGAACCAGCCTACATATTTAATGGAGTTGTCAACGTCGCCAAGAGGTGCTTCTCTTATATCGGCCGGTGTTAGCCGATACTCGCCGAACACAAATCTTCTAATAAATGAGAGCGTCGAGCAATCTTCTTTTTCGCACCCTTTGCAGAGTGCGGATTCTGACAGCCCTTTAATATAGAATGCTTCCGTGCTTGGTAGTGACCAGTCAGAATGCCTATGTCAGTGTTGTCTTGATAACTTAAGAGCTCCCTGGCAACTATGCAGTTTCTTGTTTCATCCTATCTTTCCTTGAATTTCACAAGGGAATATTCTTTAATTAGGTCTGTAACTACCGATTTTGTTAGGCTAATAGAAGGGCCAGGCCCAAAAAGTATTTGGTTGGCTGCTTTCTTGGCTAGTGAATCAGCAAGACGGTTACCTTTCGATGTGACGTGACCTTCAATCCATCTTATGGTGACCACATTGTTGATGGATACTTCAGCCAAAGTTTCGTGACATTCTAGTACTAACCCTGAATAAATTTGTGATCTGTTCAAGGTGAGTAGTGCTTGTCTTCTATCTGTAAAGATAGCGTGTTCCTTCTAGTGATATTGTTTCTGGTTATTTCTTTTGCTTCTATGAGAATCCTCGTTAGCTCTGTTTGAACTACACTGGCACTATGGCTCACAGCCCATTTTATATTTAGGTTTAAGAAACTGGAATATATTCCACATCCTGAGCATTGTTTTGTTTTAGAACCATCGGTGTAGATATGAATCGTACCTGCCACTTCCGGCTCTTCTATTTGTTCTGTTATAACTTTATATGGCTTATGGAAGATATATCTCGATGACATGGAGTCCATGATCACTTGAAGCAGATCCTACATCAGGGCTGCTATTTTCTAACTCATACGAATGACTTTCGCATAAGGAATTTTGGCGTTTTCGTATGAAATGAAGTAAACTGTATTTTGAAGGGATCGAAAAATAACCGTATACGATTTTTTTCTGCGGAAATACATCGCATGGTCAAAGGCATACGAATTAATGCATCCGTATACTAAATTAAACTGATTCGTAATGAAAACGCAAAGTCATCATGTCATTATGGTACAAATAAATGACAAAAAAGCGGTTTTTGAATTAAAAGCAAAATATTTAACAATATGATTAATTAAGATGGTTTAGCAGCATTGGAAGAAGCTGCTCTATTATCTAATATATATTAGAATAAGA